TATATTTACAAGAAAAAAAAATCTTTTTTCAAAGATGAAAAATATAGAAAAACATAAAGATGAATATAAATAAGATAAAAATGTATAAATAATCATGCTATTGAAAGAGATTAAAAAATAATTGATAATTTTAATCTTCAAAATGTTAGTTAGTTATTTAGATAATATAATTTATGCAGTGCTAAATATATGTAGATAACAAAGTTTCAAACAAACTTATTTGTTTTCAAACATAAATGATATAATAAATTTTTCTTTTGAAAAAATGACATTTTTACAAAATTTTTGAAAAGATGGTATTTTTAAAAATTTCTCTTAATTTATTTCTAATCAAATCAAAATTTTCATTACTAAATTTGATAAAATTTTAAAACATAAACTCTCAGATTCTAGTTGGAAAATAAATAGAAAGAAATAATCAATTGTTTTTAGACTATAGAAAGTATTAAGAAGTTATACTACGTTGTATTGTAAATGGAAATTCATAAAATAAAAATTAGTCATTTGAAAAATAAAATCAGGTTTTACATGCCTAATCAATGTCAACCCTAGTTCTCTCTTGTCTCCAGCCGCCGTAAACAGTAACCCGAAGTAGATTTAGAGATTTTGGGCCGGTGTCCGGTGGCTTCCGTAGAGCCGGCGCCGGCCTCGTGATTTGTGGTTGTTTCCCCTGCTTTAGTTGTCTTTTGTTAGCATCTGTTTCGGTTATGGGTTTGAGATCTCGCTATCTGGCCGGATGAGGTTTGGGGTTTCGTTTTTCGATTTGATTTTGTGGTCTGTTTGAAGAAGGGCTGGTCTTTGATAGGTTTGAGTGGTTCGTTTTACGAATCCTTTGTTTCTCTTCTTCTCTCGACTCGGTTCATGTCGGAACCATCCCCCTGTTTTTGGGTTTGGAGGTGTTCAAGGCCTTCTTGGGAGCGGCTTGGTGAGTGATGTTGCGGAGATCCATACCCTAGGTCTGGGTTTTGTTTCTCTGGTCCTCGGTGAAGATGCTCGCAGGTATGGTTTTCTCTGGTATCAACTCGGTTAGGTCTTAGACCTTGTTGCCTTGTTGTTCATGATGCTTGTTATGATGGAGCGTCTCTGTGGCTAGATCTTGGTTCTCTCTAGAGCCGGGCTTGGTTGATCCTTTTTAGATGGATATAACGCGTTCTCCTCTCTCAAGGTGTTAGCCTTCGTGTTCTGGCCTTATGTTAGGAGTTGTTGGGGCTGATTTAAAGTGTAACTTTTTCCTAATGAACAACATGGTTTTGAGGCTGTCTTTCCTCGACTCGACTAGCAGTTTAGTTTCCTCTCTAACCTTATTTCCAATAGTTTCTTCTATCTGCTTTACTGCATTGGATTGTGTTTA